AGAGCCGCTGCCAGCCCCAGGCTCCCGACAGGGGCTGGGTCCCGGTTTTAGCACCAAAACCGGTTTTTTAAGTCGGGTGTGAGCAGAGGATCCGGGGAGGGGAGGCAGAGCCTGAGCTGGGGGGGACCCAGCGCACCCCCGGGCCCGGAGCAGCCGGGCTCCCCAGCCCGGGGCTGGCACCCCGAGTCAGGCCCGAAGCGGCCCAAAGAGCTGGGGTGCTCGTCCGGGCTCTGGCTGACAATGTCTCACCCAAAACCACTGCTGGGGTGCGTTGAGGGTGAGCTCCAAAGCACCCTCCATCCTCGGAACGGCACCCCTGGGCGCTGGGGTGGGGCTGCACCCCATGCTGGGGAGGGGGGGAGGCGCAGGGCTGGCAGCACCCCTTGCGCAGGGGGCTGTGGCGGCGGCAAGCAGAGCTGCCGGGGCAGGCAGAGGGCCTTTCCAGGTACGGCGTGTGGAGGAACAGCGGCCCCAAACTGGTGGTGAGGCTGGACCGGACGCTATTTAAGGTCCTAGGAGAAGTTTGGGGAAAAATGGCCACTCCCAAAATCTCCCCCCTGGGCTGGGTAGCGCAGAGGCAATGGGTCTGGGGGCTCGATCTGCCTGATGGAGCTGAACCAGCCAAGCCCTGCAGGGACCCCCCTGGGTGTGGACCGGGCACTGGCAAGGCTCATCCTGCACGAGTCGTTTCCCAGGAGCGGGGCTGGTTTGTCCGAGAGCTGCAGGGACCAGGACCAGCTACGACCTCAGATTTGGGGCAAGGGGACTCTCCCAAACTCCACCTGCGCCAATCCTCATCCTTTCTCCCTCCTCTGGTGAGACTTGGGGCTGGAGTTGTCCCCTCCTCTGCCTTGGTGAGAGATGCCCCAACTCCTGGATCTGCCCCTTGGGGCTGACGCTCAACCCTCTCCTCCATCAGAGCCCGCACACCCCAAGGCAGGGATGGGAAGAGCTGTGGGACCATCACAAACCTAGTGCTGGACTTCTCCATCAGCTGGTGGCCCATGGGCTTCCCTCTCACCTCCTTAGCCAAGTGGCCAGCATAGGGCTGGGGGGGTTCGAGCATCCGAGGGCCATCTGGGGACTGTGGCAATGGGCCACCTCCGGCTGTTGGGCTGTGCCAGCAGCAGGGCGAGGAGAGCTGATTCGGATTTGAATGATCTGTTTGCTCTGCAGAGAAAAAAATAAACCGAGGATGGCGGCCTCACGTAAACACCGCGCTATTTATGGGAGGCGTTCGCTGGAGCATCTCACAGCGCATCTCCTCGCGCATCCTCCACCGCAGGGAGGGGAGAAGCCCTGGAGCCAGAGGCAACGCGTGGGGTAGGTACGCTCAGGACAGGGTACCGGGAGTGGAGAGGGCATCCCCAGAGGGCCCCAAAACCCCTTGCCCACCGGCTTTGCAGGGTGAGCGTCCTTGCAGTCAAGCTCTGGCTGGGAGCAGAGCAGGAAAACCGGCAGGTTCATCACGGGAGTGCAATGCGGAAGCAAACGCAGCCAGGTCCTGGCCTAATTGTATGCAAATCTCCCAAACACAGAGATTAAAAACCACTCCTTTTCCTTAGTGGATTTGCAGTTTGTTCTCCCTCCCTGGACTCATGCCCCAGCATACTTAATTTTAGCAGCACCCCTAAAAAAACCCCATGTTATGCCAAAAATGAGCTGCCCGGCTGGGCGTCTGCCAAAGCGGGGTAGGAGCTCTCCCACCAGCCCAAGCAAACTGTCCCAGGGCTTTGGCAAAGGCTGCGAAGATCGAACAAGCAAATGCTGTTGCTGGTTGCTGCGGGTGGTGGCACAGAGCCCGTTCCCGATGGAGGTGGCATCATCTGCTCACCCTCCCGGACACCAGGCTAGGGCTTGTGTCAGGCGGGTATTGGAGATTTCTTAAAAACCCATGAAAGGTAATTTTCTGGTGAGCATCAGGCACCCAGAAGGTTATTCAGGTCTTCCAGACTCTTGCTGGGATTTGGAAGGAGAAAATGGCCTGAGAGCTGCGACGGGTCGTGATGATCCCAAAGAAGTGTTGGATGATGCTGCGACAGGCAAATACCCGCTGCCATCCCCGGCGTAGCGGGAGAGGTGGGATGAAGGAGAGCAAAGAGAGGACACGGCGTGGCTTCGATATTCCTGCACCGCCTTTTCCAGCTTGCCGCCTCCCGTGAGACGGGGACAGGACCAAACCTGGGCCGCAGCAGGAGGGAACGGTTCGTGGCCGGCTCCGTGCCAGTGTGATGCACAGGAGGGTTTGGCGTGTCGGGGCCGGCTGAGCCAGCCTGCCTGGTTGACGCGACCAAACCCCGACTGAACACCCCCAGGGCTCGGCAGCAGCCAAGAAATGCTTCTCCAAGGAGGCAAGTCAGGGCGTTGGTAGCTCATTTCCACCCGTCTCTTCTTTGGCCGTTCTTGGGGTGTTAAGTCCCAGTCTGATTGTCAGGCTCGGGGAAGGTTTGTAATGATCCCAAGGGCGAAATTAATACACAAACGAGGTCATATGCCGCCAATCAGATGTTTTATTGGGTAAATATAAAAGAGTAAAGTGATAGGAAAGGCGGGAAATATTAGGAGGAAATTAAGCAAGCATTCAGAGAGATAAGCAAAGGATAGTCAGCACCATGGATCCAGCGGCGTCCCGTTGGTCTTGTCTTCAGTTTTTCGGTGGTGGATGGCCACATTCAGGTTTCGTTGTGCCGTCTTTTATCTGCTGTTGGAGAGGGAGTTTGCCCTCTCCTTTCCGTTTGGTTACCCAGGGCAACATCACATACCCAACACATGCACATCTAATATATTGCTCGTGGGGCAAGCGGCCTGACCGGATACCAGTTGGTGTCCTATTCTTGGTGGTACCTGATAAGCCAAAGAATGGCCTGCTGCTTCAGCAAGTTTGCAAAAGTTTCCTTGCCAGATGGTGGTACTTGATAAGCCAAAGAGTGGTCTGCCCTCAGGTCTTGTCAGACAAAAGAGTGGTCTACTGTCCGGTCTTATCAGATAAACACACACAAGCAAGTTTTGAGACAATTGTTCTTAACACTTCAGTCTCTTACATGGGGGTTTGAGCTTTCCCCCTCCTGCCTCAGTTTACCTACATGAAGAGCAGCTCCTCACTGCCATCCCAGGTGCTCAGGGCAGGAGAAGTTGAGGGTTTTGCCACCTCTTCCATCGCAGGAACCATCCCACAGCCGTTCTGGTCACAGAAAGGGGCCTCTTAGTTAGGAAAGTTAATTAGGAGAGCGGCTGGTGCCAGCAGCACAGGGCTGGGTGCTTGGAGCGCTGACATCTCTGTGAGATATTAATTAGGACGAGTGACCCCCTGAATGCCATGGTCCGGTGGGTCCAGACAAGATGGCACAAGGCGAAAAAAGAAGGAGCAAACAAAGGGAAAATCCGGAGCTTTTCCAAGGATGCCTCCGCTGTGCCAAGATGCTGCGGAGCGATGCTCGTCCCATAGCACGAGCCCTGGGGCCACCGGTCCGTGTGCACCAGGCAACACACAGCCCTGGCGGGACTTCCCTCGGGATACAGGGCTGCTCCATGACTTGTGTCCGGTTTCTCTCCCATTTAAGGGGATGCATGGCCCTTAGGAAGCGGTTTGGGGAGCAAGGAGCGCTGCGCTTTTGCAGGGTGATGCACCCCGGTCTGGGCTTTGCAGCAGATACTCCGCAGTAATGACACAGCGTAGAAAAAAATCCCGGGAAATCATTTAAACTAGCAAATCCCAGAGGGCGGATGGGGGAATGGTTGCTTCCCCGCGGACTGACGCTTTCCACCAAGCGCATCCCAGCCCTGCAGCCCAGAGCAGGTTTTAATGCAGGTTGGCAGCGCTGCCCGTGCCCCGAGGGAGAAACTGAGTCACAGGCGGTGCCTGTGGCCACTCAGCAAGCGGGTGCTGGCGCGAGGACGTGCTCCGGCTCCCCTCTGCCCCGGGTGGATGCCGTGTTCATGAGGCTGCGGGCTCCCACGCAGAGGCCAAAGGGGTCAAGCCCCACTCGGTGCCCTGCCAGATGCCAGCCAGATGTTGCCCACAGGCAGCTGGGTTGCAGCCAAGCCAGGTTCCTCGGCACAGCAGGATGCTAATGGGCTTTTGCACTTCCCTGGCGGGGAGGAACTGCTGAGACATCACTCGATGGAAGAGAAAACATGTCCAAAACCCGGCAAGCTCTCCACCAGCGCCGTCCTTGGCACGGCAGCGGGATAGAGCAGAGGTCTGCCCCGCTCGCCGGCTCTGCAGTGCACCCGGGACCGCAGCAGGGTGCTGGCGTCCGTCCCCGTGCCCCAATCCAAGCCCTTTGC